TTCCTTTCCCGTGCCATAAACAAGGCGCCGAACACGCTCGATGCTCATGCGATATTCCCACCAGTTGTGAGCCAAACTGCGAAAGCACCAGGTGTCGAACGTAACTAGCCTCTTTATGTCTGCCGATCTAATGGACCAGGTTTCATGGCCGTACAGTAGAGTCGAACATACGGCTGCATTTTACACATTACCCTTCAGGAAGAGATTGATGTCTTGCCGACGCCATAGGTGGCGAAGTTTAACAATAACATCTCGAGTTTTTGCTTTACGGTTTGTGACCTTTTTCCGATTCCACTGGCACTGTTACTACTGTCCAGATAGTTGAATTTCCGATCGACTTCTAGATGACCCCCCACCGAAGATCAGCGCGGGAGGCAGTCGCTGCCAATTTTGGAGGAAACCTCTACATTTTAAGGGTGCAAAGCATAACCCGTAACGGTTGACAGTCAGTGGTAATCTGTGCAGTGCTGTTTAGCACCTTTGTGAGCTCTCACAGTTGCGGGCAATGTCCTCATCAGACTAGGTCAAAAAGTCGGTCACGTGGGTGCAGCTCCACAATTAAGTTTTGTCCAGTGAATGCGATTTCCATGGATACGTCAATAGCGAAGTTGAAGAGAAAGTGACAGCGGACATCCGTATCTTACACCTCTGGAGTTGTTGAACGGCGATGACAGATTGCCGCAAGCCCTCACTCTGTCCGGGCTACACTTTTAAAGTGCCCTGATACTACTTACATAATTCCCGGGCACACCTTTTCTTAGCAGTCAGTCCCAAAGATGACATTGATACACCGAATTGAAGGCACATTTGATGTCGAGGAACACGACATCGGTATACTGCCGCTATGGGACGGTGCGCCAATAATTGACCTAAAGTGAAGATGTGATCGATGCTGCCTCGAAATCGACGAGACCCTGCTTGCCGCTCACAAATCTGCATTTACCTGTGCCAGTCGATCTGAAAGATGACAAGCACGTAACTTTGAGGCGATGGATATCAGATTGATTCCTCTATGGTTACCGCATTCCGAAAGAGATCCGCCGTTGAAGATCAGGACAATAACGGAGCGGCTCCAGTCGGTTGGAATAGTTTCACTAATAACTCGTGCAGGTCCACCGAATTTGAAGATGGCTGGACGAACATCACGTGGTTCCGCGACCTTGTTCAGTTTCAATTGTACCGTCTCATGTTTGGCTTCAGAGCGAGATGGCACTTCCAAAGGGACAACCTAGGAAACAGGACCATCACTGGCCGGTAAGAAATCTGACAATTCCGGCCAATTACATTGCCTTATAAAGTGTTCAGTTCACCGTTCCAAACTACTTGTGGATAGGCTGTCCACTCACGTCATATATAGCTTCACTAACACCAGGTCTCCTACTTCCCGTTTCCCGTATCAGGCGGAATAATGTCCGATGGTTACCAAGGGCGGCGGCTGTTTCCATCTCCGAAGCCACCAGGATTTACGGCTAGCGCGGGGTTTTGCTCTAAGGTCTTTGCAAGTCTCGTTGTGCTCGCTCTTAACCTGAATGTGCCGGCGTGCATCGAAAAATTTCAGAATCTGCGTAGAGAGCCTAAGCTTTACACCGATAGTACTTTGTTCTCAGAGTAGTCAATTGAAATCGGAAGGAACGTAGTTACCATACGTAGATACACGCTAGCTGAAACTGACGGAACGCGCAACCTTACACGACTGCACGGTGGCCTAGAAAAGAGTCTGACTGATAGCAAGAGTGCATCTGTTGACTCAGCCAAAGTTAACAGGCCTTGCACACCATAGTTTAAGTGTAAGTTGGTTTAGCCCAACTGTGGTGAAGGAGCATCATGAATGCAACATCAGCCTTAGCATGGGGCACTATATATATATATATATATATATATATATATATATATATATATATATATATATATATATATATATATATCCAGTTTGGTTGTAACCAATGTACCACCAGAACCATGACACAAAAAGGGGACATCGTAGCGCAGTTGCAGAGGAAATCGATTTTTTGTGTTTTACTTGTGCCATTTCAAGTTTATTCGTTTTGGAGTTATTTGTGCTCAATTTGACATTAACAAACAACAGGTGCGGCAAAACTACACTTTCGTCACTGATGTCACTTGCGAGCCACAACATTTAATGTTTCCAACCGCAGAGACAGTTTCGCGTGGTCCTCAGCCTAGTACACGAACCGGTCCGCCACTTGTGGCGCCGGCGTGACATAGCTCTCACCCTGAAAGGCAGAGTTTACAATGCAGCCGTGCGTTCAATCCTTCTGTACTTTTGCAAAATCTGACCCATCAGATTGACAAACTTGCAGTTGCCTGTTACGTTCGACCATCGCTGCAGTTTAGCCTATGTGTGGTAGGAACACCTCCTAAGCAATGATCACTTTCGGCGCCTTACATTAGATGCAGAAAGTGAGTGAACTATTCAGCGCCGTTATATCACCTGCCTGATTCCGATGGCTTGGCCACCATCAAGCATGCCGGCACACCGATTCCGACGTTGTGCGTTGTTTGCGCGACCGGGAGTGCGGATAGAAGAAGAGGGGAGGCCGACCGATGACATCGTCAAGAAGCATGAGGACCATTACCTCGAAATTGGCGTCGATCATTATCTCTTGACTGCAGGGTTGATGCCCGAGAGACGATGAACACCTTTGGTTGGAGAAACATATTGATATGGCGAAAAGCCAACCACGATGGCGTTTGTGTTGTGAGTTTCTTTGTCCCTCTGGCTTAGCTTCCCCCAATCGCGATCTCCTAACCGATGCATAGTTTGATACTAAGCATTATATTGTTTTTTGTAATTTTTATTTTGTCTCTTCTGATGCTTACTATATTACTTTTTGTATTACGGCAAAATATCTAAGGTATTTGTCACCCTTGCCTAACGTGAAACGATGATGATGATGACGTATGACAGATTTAGTAGACCAGTAGGCAACCACCAATTTGCGCGCATCCGCGAAGCCGAAAGTGAACTTCTATGGGCCGGCTCCGTAGCATGATTCTAATCGATGCGATTACTCTAAAGTGAGAACAATCTTTGGCGTTCGTCTGCCGTATGATGCTATCGCAATGTGGGTAATTTGAGCTAAGGACTGTTGCTTTCACGAGACCCGACACAAATCTCTGTGTGGGAAATCTGTCATACTGATCAATGTTTTGCAGCCTCTATCCGGTTAAATCACTGTTTCGTTTCTGTGTCGTAGCGCTTTGATGCTTCTCTACCGTTCTTCCTTTGCGCATGTGTGCTAGACATGCCGGAGATATTTATTCCGGATTTATTCGAAACCGTAAATGATTCCAGCCATAGAACACCAGTGCCTTCTAAAGTACCTTGCGTATTTCATTGCACGACCTAAACTGGAGTAATTGCTATTAAGATACATTGACAAAGGAAATTTGCATCGCGACGATGTATACGAATTTCGAAGGGTGCAAAGCGAGTGCTTGCTACTCACTTTCGTAATTACTACGGAAAATGGGCAGTTCAAGGCTACACTCGACGGTTACAGTAATCCCTTCGCCCACTAATTGCTTTTTTCGTTTATCTTATCTCTATCTATTGCGGCGCAATAGACAGCATGTGTAATCATGGTACGGATGACAGTAGGCGAGGCGAAATCGGTGTCGAAATTCACGCAATTTCTAGACGCCATCTTTGTGGGTTACACATGTCGAGATTGCATTGCATTTGAGAAGAAATCTTGCACTGTCGAACTATGTAGGCCATACGGCTAATGATTGAGGTTATTCCGCGTGAGTGCTCGATACTGTACCGATGGCGCAGCGCAGATGTATGATTTTCAGCTTCGTATTTCCAGTATCCAGTGGAAGTTGTTTAGCTAGGCGCATTAGGGTCTTCGCCGACATTAGCATGCAGCTCAGTCAAATTCGATCTACCTAGTGGTGGTAAACGTTTTCACACTTTGAAAGACTCAAGCATTACCTTACCGTAGCCATGCAGGTCTAGCATAGATTTTGTATCTTTATCTATTAACTTGCCTTTTTCGGTCGGTCTCCTTAGCTGTCTCACATTACGATCAATTCAAGTCTTACAACGAATACTCATTAACAGAAATGATAAGTCATCGCAGCATGTTTTCCGTTGCGGAATCCCCGACGATGTACCCACAAAATTCAGCATTCCTTGTAATTTTAAGATGGCCTTGGACTTCCAAGCAGTTATAAATAAATACACAAATAAACGGTATATTCTTCGACGGTGCGAAGCTCAGTCCAACTGCATGGTCTGATCAATTTGTGCAACAGATCGCATGAAACAGTTAATTGTTCACGTTCATTTTGCAACGGATCCCAAACGAATTTTTAAAGTGATTAGCAGGTCCAAGCTATCAGAGAAACTAAGAAAATGGGAACAAAGGCAAATGCAGATTTAGCCAGATATTCAAGTAATACGGCTATCCATGAAACTGTCTCCAGACGACCTGCTTCCAAGCAAGGTATTCTCTCATGAGAGTTCACCCGCTCTTCTATCGGGCAGAACTATGCGGCTTAGCGAGCGACGTCTTGGTGGTCTCTTTCCCATTAGAAACATCCTAGTTCATGCGACACATGCTCCTTAATACCTTCAAGTCACCGGCATAGATACACCGCTTTTTGCTTTGCTGATTTGCCCAGTATAGTCTCTTCATATTTTCAAATTTCCGCCCCTTGTCCATATATCTCCACTCGGGGTTCCCGCGAGTTCTGAACCTTGCGCCCACTTCATTTTGCAGCTGTTCTCCTAGATCACTTTTCTGAGTCACTTATGTTTGTGTTGCCTTCGCCACCCCCTCCATCTCACACAATTCGATATTATCACACATGTAAGTTTGCGTCTCTAAATTAGCATAAGCGTCAGTCCTTATGTAGAATTGAAGCCAACGCTGGCACAATAGTCCCTGCTACTTCATTTCATCATTGTGTCTTTTCTATGTTATAATGCACAAGCTCACCCCTTTCATCCTCCCCTCATCTTCATTCGCCAGATTCCCCGAGTGTACTGCTTGAATCGGTCTCGCCAACGTAGTGTTCTAATCCAGTGGCTTGAGAAGATGCCCAGTCTTATGCATGAATGCATGCGTATGCAGCTCATGGTCGCAATGGAATTGGCGAAGAAGTTCGACTGGGCAAATGTGCAACAATCCGTGTCTCCTGCGGATGACTCTTTCAAGCCTATAGATCTACAGGTGGTTTCTTTGATCTGCTACTATTATTATCATCTGGCCTGGGACTACATCATCTCCGGATTTCAGTTAGAACTGTACAGCAGTTATGAGTGGGTGCCCATGTACACGTTCCTGATTCAATTGTTGCAGCAGTTGTCTACTCTGATGGAGCGCCTCGCCACTCTGTCCGCAGCCACTATTAGCCCGAACATGGAGGGTACATTGCACGTCTCCACGGACACTGTTTTGCGTACAAACCACTGCACATCGCTCGACGGTGAAACCAAAGAACCGACGGGGGATAAGGCTGTTTGCCCGCTAGGCCGTGGACGTAAAAAGAATCGTAAAGGGCGATCCAGGCATCACGCTGCTCCACTCTCATCCGAAGGTGCAAACAATAATGAAGCAGTGGATTGTCTCCCAGACAGGCCAACCTTGTCCTTCTGTTGGCATAAGTTTTGCGGACCGCTTTCGAGTATTGAAGTAAGTCAGCGAGGTACTTTTGTTATCTGGGATATCTGCTAGCTCATAACTTGTATCACCCTGATGACCAAATATTTTTGTCCGAATTTCAGGCAGTTTCGTGCTCTTTGGTATGGTCTAATCCGAATATAACCTAAGATTGAGGTTGTCGAGGTTTAACTGCTCATTCTTCTCGTCACTTTCGTCACCATTCAAGCCACCATCATCGTCCTGATCGTCATGGTCACTCACCTACTCGCCAAGCGCCTGTGGAATCAAAGACAAAGTCACGAATTAGAGAAGAGTAGTAGTGGGGGTTGAATGGTATAGGTAGAATTTCGTCACATCTAGACTCACTCAGACAGCCGCCACACGCCTGGAAAAGCACTGTCCTCTGCACGGCAGTAACGTGTAAGTCATTGGATAGTGAGCGGCGCTATATCACATCTAGTAAATTATTCACGATGGTCGTTGCTGTCCCCCGTAGCTCAGTGGTCTCAACCACGGACTGGCAACAGTCGAGTTGCGGGTTCGAGCCCTACCATGGGTCCGATGGAATGCGCACTGCTGACGATTCCCGAAAGGATGAAACAAGGTCGCGAACTTTAGAGCAAAAGTTCAAAGCACTTTTGCTAACTTTCACCACTTATGGCGCCGGCGCGACATCACTCTTTCTCTGGAGAGTAGAGTTGACAATGCAGCCTTACGTTCGACCCCACTGTACGGCTATGAAACCTGGCCCATTAGATCAGCCGACATAACGCGGCTAGTTACCTTCGACCACCGGTGCCTTCGCAGTTTGGCTCCTATTTGGTGGGAACGCCGTGTGCGTCTCGTTTATGGCATAGAAAGAAGTGAACCTCTCAGCACCGTTACTTCACGCACCAGGCTCCGATGGCTTGGCCACTTGTTGCGCATGCCAGCACACCGACTACCGCTACATGCGTTGTTTTCACGCCAAGGGTGTGGATGGAAGAAGAGGAGATGTGGCCAATCGATGACTCGGTCAATAGGAATGAAGGTCCTTGGCCTCGGTTGGAGACTCAGGGCTCCCTCTTTTGGGTCCACGAGAAGGCGAACACGTTTAGCTGGATACACTTGTTGATATGGCTAGGAGCCGACCTCAGTGGCGTTTGTGTTGTGAGTTTCTTTATCCCTCCCCATCCAACAACGACCCCATTTCTGACACATAATACAACTTTTTGTGGCCCAATAGCTGGCTGCTAGCGCTCCAGAACGATGTCCATCCGTTACTGGTGATTTAGCTGGCGTGTCTCTGTTGCATGTTTTTTCCTTTCCCGTGTGTTGCGGCACAATACCTGAGGTGTTTCTCACGTCTAGCTAACGTGTTTAGTAATTATGATGATGATCTGCTATCATGCAACCCTGGCCTGCCAGGTTCCTCGATTCGAATTCGTAGCGTGCGAAGAACTCGTATTAAAGGTCAAGGTATGATGTATTTACTTTAACCCAGCTGTCACTCACAGATAAAGTATCGCCTATGCGGTAGTTTCAGTTCTAACTAGCGCACTACACAGTCATCTTTATTTTATTCGCTAGCCGCAGAGGTATGCAGCCCAAATGAGCCACTAATCATGTGGCTACAATAGCTGAGCTCTCGACTCGCATGAAGCATGAGGCGTAGGAGCTTGTCTTGGGAAGAAACGTGAACCAATGGCTACTGATCTCTTCTGCTACCGAGTCAATAGTAGGCGCGACCAAACCTTGCCCTAACTTTGGCTGTTTTGAGCGAACAGTGGAAAGGAAATGGCATCAGCAGTACGCCGGCACCCCTACTGCCGTTTAGCCGTCACGTGACCACCATCTGTTGCATGTGGGCTGCGGATGCTGCAAGGTCACACGCACCTACACAGATTCGAACCGGTGACCGTTTTGGATTGTAAGACATACTCATTAAACTTCCGGCTACCGGCCAACTTACTTGCGCTCTGCTACCATCTATGTCTGGTGTTCGAGCTACCACGGTTCCATTGATCGTGGATCGCAAGTACTCCTGTGCATATTTCATCCTTTTGAAATTAATTCAATCATCCGACTTGTCAAACTTCTTAAGATATCTTATTTCCTCTGACCGCAGTACAAGATGTTGCCACCATGCAACTGAACTGCTTAGGTTGTCCCTTTGCGCATGCAGCCTCTCAGTTCATACAAAGGTGTATTCCGACTCCACGGTTGGTTGTGTGTCAAAAGTAACGTTCACTCATCAACAGTGCCCATGCCTGTTCGTAACCGGCAAGAATAAACAAGTGGGACGTACTTTCTCTTCCCTTGCGGTCAAACAGCCCCTCTCATCTGTTGAAGTCACTCAAGCCAAGTCAAGAAAGTGCTCTATGCACCCAGGACGGGTGAATATTCACCCGTGACACCCACACGCAGCATGATAGAAATGCAACTCTGGATAGGTGGATTAGTAAGTGAAAAAACGATACCATCATAGCATAACCTGGTTGGTTAGTTCTCGGACAAATTTGTTGGAGTCTAACAAAAATCGCGCTAGCTAAAGAACAACTGACGAACGGTAAGCTCACGTTCAGGCGTATATGGACTTGTACTTCTCTTTGGTTGACGGACACACATTCCGACATTACACCATGAAATAGGTGACTTGTGTCAGCAAGTACTGTTGACGCTAGTCTATTGTAAGAACCGGCATGTGTGTAAACTATCATCATATCAACAAACTCCGTTTTGATTCACTCCCACATCGCCACAATTCTTTTAACCACTGGGAGATTAATCATCTGAATTGCTTACCCAGTATACCGTTTTATGCATCACGGTTTTGTTGGAAGCACTTCTCAATTGACCAGCAGCTTAGGTAACAAAATCGTTATTTTCTGAAGATACTTCGCAACTGCAAGGTCACTGAGAGTTTGGACCTTTACGTGGTGCACACTTCTCCCCTTTCCAAGTAATCGAGTTGACCACGGCCCATGAACAAATATTTTCGGCAAATTCACGCATGGCCCTAGGCCTGGGCATTAGATTAATTCGCCGAGTCTGGACAAATGTTCTGGTGTACTATTGAAACAGTAATCCTATAAAACGGAAAAATTGGTCGGAATCGCTCGCGAACATGTGAGTATACGTTGTTAGCGTGATAGATTTTGAGACTGCGCGTCGCATTCCATTTCCACAACGAGTGCTTTAAGATGACCTTTCCGAAATCATTCCTTGGACGATGTTCTTAGGTTCCTTGAAAGCTACTCTTACCAGTTTGCTCAATGATGAAAAGTTAGCGGAACTCAGCCTCCTGGTCTTCTAGGTCGGTTATGAAGTTAGATTGGCAAACCTTTTCTCTGAAATTCCGTCGCAACGAGACTGAACCTTACCGTGGTGCGACGGTTTGCGTACCTCTTTGACCCATTGACCTATAGTGCTTGGTGCTCTCGGGTCCCTTGAGAGCTACTCCTACAAGATTAGTCAATGGGTAGAGGTCGGGCAAACTCAGTTTCCTGGTTTTCCATGTTGGGCGTTTGAAATGGGATGGCATCCATTTCCGAAACATTTAATTATTGCCACCACCCCGCCGCCTTGCGGACCGGCTTTCAAATCAATGGCTTTGGTTGAGGATCCTAATCGTCCTCCTGTCAAGGTCTGGGCGCCCTGGCAGTATCTCAGCCCACATACAACCATGACGATTTCCTCAAAATTCAACTACATCTTGCATCGGCTGTCGCGCAGACTATCAAGGGTCGCCTTATCTACTGCATACAGCAGGGTGGATAAGCGGAAACATACTACTGCTTGAGCCTCCCTTCTTTTCCACCTATCTCTCTTGCTACCGTCCCAACGCGCATTACTAACCTACTATAGTTTCCAGCTTAGTCGACAGCAGTCTTAATGCCACTGGAGTCACACCAACTGCAGCTACCTTCCCGCACCACACACTGGACACCTATCGACGGCAGTCCCTCGTAAGGCCACGCCGACCCGTTTTCCTTGCGGGGTTCAACGTTCGCACTTTAAGGCAAATAGTTCAACAAACTGCACTCTCATGCACTTGAGACACACTGGGTATTCAGATAGTTTGTTGTCTGAAACTAGGATCAATTACCCTCATGGGGTCGTTGAACTAACAGCGTACGACTTATCTACTGGTTATTGGTTGCAGACAGGTGCTACTTATGCCTGATCACCGCTTACCTAGGAGAGCCTTGTTCTGTCTGTCAGATGTAGAGTGGCGCAAAGCTCGAGGTGGACAGAACTTGACTTGGCAGCGGGAAATGAAGTCACTGACGACCAAACTTGCTGCCGTTGGTCCGTCTCACCTTCCGGACTGGAATCCACGCGACCCGCTTTGTGCTTGGCTCGCGGCTTTACAGGACATGACTCGCAACCGATATCAATGGCGCGTCTGCTGCCGTCTTTTAATCAGATTGCCTGTTTAAAGTGTGTTTGGTGCTGAGTTATCTGCGGGGTAATGGCTGATTATGACGCTTGGTGGTGAAAACCGCAAGGAGGCTACTTCGCCGCTGCCCACTTATCTTTGCACGATAACCAGCTGTTTGTGACGGTATGTTGCCAACACAAGGTGTAGGTGCTTTGACTCTGAATGTTTCCTTACAGCATTAAGATTTTCAGGCGAATCCCCCTTCTTATTATTCTTTATTTCATAGGTCATCATGGTTGTATGACAGCGAAGCATCAGTTCAACTGACTGATGTACTGCTGTTGTTGAATGATGATTGGTTGCAGACCGCCGGAGATGCTGCTGCGGCAGCTGAGGTAGATATCGTACTCAGCTCCAAGACTGAGCCATCGTCGGTTAACTGGATTCCGGTGAACAACCGTTTATGTGTTGCCCGTTTAACGGCATCGACCAAGGTTGATTCACGAAGTAGTACGCGACGGTGTTGGTTTGTGGTTTCCGCTTATGTTTCCACCGGCTGTCGTTTTAATGCTGCCAAAGCTACATTCTACCACGAACTGAACACGCTGGTACGCAGTGCTAACAGTTCAGATACCATAGAGCTTGCAGGGATACGAATGTACAAACAGGTCGCGTGGTCTCTTCAGTAGCTCAGCTAGGTGGTAATTATGGGCTTAACTCCGAACGGACGGACAACAGCGTGCGTCTTTTGCAACTGTGTGCGGAAAACTAGCTGTTTTTTAGTAGCACCGCTTTTGGACACAATGGGCGACGAAGTGCCACTTGGCGTCCTCCTGTAGCTTATCAGCGATGGGTCAAAATCGATCGCATTGCCATAAGTTACAGGTGGTGTTATTCCATCCTGAATTACCTGTGGCTCTGCAGTACTTGTATTGATACTGATCATGCCTTGGTACGCTGTCATTTTTTCATGAACTTTACCGGGAGGCGCGCCAAGCGTATTCCCGGATGCGCTACTGAGAAGCTATCCCGGCCCTCGTTTAAGCAAGCTTACCAAGATGCTCTGCTTACCGAACTTTCGTTCTCTTATCCTACTGACACTGAGCTTCATTGGTATAAGATCTCGGTCTCCATGCACAATGCAGCAGCATCTGCTTGTGGTACTATCAATCGTCACCGCACCAGTCTTTGGATGTCCGAGAGGCCGGTGAACCTATTGGAACTCAGGAGAAACCTTCCTGCTGTCTTTGAGCACAGTAAGACCAGACGGACTATTTGGCGCGAATTAAAGCGGAGCCTGCACGCTGACAAGGAAGCGTAGTGGACCGGTTGGACTCAAGAAATGGCGAAGGCGGGGGCAGTAGGGAATTATCGCAAGCTCTTCCAGCTAATCCACACCACTGGTCGCAGGAAACCGGACCTCAGTGAAATACTCCGAGACAGTGCGGCTGCTCTGATTCGTAATAAGGGGCGCCGTATGGCTGGTTGGACGGAACGCTTTCAAGGTTAGTTCAATTGGCCCCTTGCTTCCGGACCTCTTCCTACTCAGGTGGTGCAGGATGAACCTAGGACGGTCAGTTTAGAAGCTCCATCGGAGACTGAGATCCGAAGTGTGATCACTGTCTTCAATTCTTTTCGTACTGCTGGCCCGGATTCTCACCCACCTGCACCATTTAAGCATAGTGGTGAGGTCCTTTGCAAAGCACTAATCTCTCTGTTAGGACATATTTGGAAGGCAGAGAGCGTCCCGAATAACTATACAAGAAGGGCGGTCGCACCGACTTCTAACCAAAGGGTGTTAGCCTAACGCCAGTTGTGACAAAATTACTAGCCTCAATTTTTGTCCGTCGCCTCACTGTGGAACGCGAATCTCGGAGTTGGGAAGAGCGGGCAGGTTTCCGTTCCGGATTTGGCTGTATAGACCACATGTTTACTTTGCGGTAGGTGCTGGAACAGCCCCACGCATAAGGCAGACCGACAATAGCTGTGTTCCTTGATTTCACGAGTGCGTTCGATTCAGTCAATCGATGCATTCTTTTCGAAATGCTTGCGCGGAAGGGTGTTTTCATGAAATATGTGAACATTCTACGTGCTCTGTACTCGAACAGTACAGGCCGCTTCAGAGTCTACGGTGGCGTTCGTCAGGGTTGTTCAATTTCGTCTTGGACTCTATCATGGAATGTTCCATTGAGGAATCTTTCAATGCAGGCGTTGACGTGCTGCCTGGTGAATGGTTAGTTGATTTTGTTTATGCAGACGATACTGCATACCTTTTAACGATGTTGGGACGCGTAATCAACCCTGAATGGCTTATTTAGAGTGGTCCCCTTATTTGCCATGCAGTTCGCACCTTCTAAGTGCAAAGTGTTGCTGCAGGACCACCAGCCACTTGATGATTCCTTGACCCTTGATAACGAGGAACTCGAGGTACTTGATCAATTCACTTATATTGGCGTCAGTCTCAGCAACCACGGGCATATAACAACTGAAGTCAGTTCATTTTTTGCAAAAGCCAGAACTGCCTTCTTGAATCTGCGACATCTTTCGCGACCGAAGGAAGTTTCCCTTCGTTTCTAAGGTCGCGTTTACAAGGTAATAGGTATAAGCACCCTATCGCTATCTCAGCCAACTTGCAACCATTCCCCAGTCTACTGCTGCGGCTTCAAGGGGGTAACCTTGTCTACTACTATTTGCAACGTAGTCTGTTTCCGAGAGTTATTTTGTGACAATGCGAATATTACCACAGTGGCAAACAGTTTCCTGCTCTCAAATGCCTTTTATCGGACAACGCAACATCCAACTTTCATGCCATTTGACTTTTCGGACTGCTGGCTAGTGATTGACCACATTTTTATGGAATTCACCTGACGCCGCATCACCAATGACCACCGGTCGTTTCTGAGGATATTTCTGAAATTTTGTCATCCCTAGTCGGCTATAGATTATCACAATGAGAGGTGACGGGTGGCGCAGCAAACAAAACCGGCGTTGGTTTTAAAGGAACCTTTGCAACCACGATTAGACAGTCGTAGTAGTATGTCCTGCATACTAGACTTTAAGGTATTTCGCCTTCACTGGCATAAAAGCCTTGTTGCCATGTCTGGCTCAGGGTATTCTATTTTTGGCACTCAGTCATCAGCGCACCGATCGGTTTGTCCAACATTTCGACCTTTTTAATGTACTTACTCTGAAAGATGCCTCCATAGGCTATCAAAACGATTTTCGTAACTTGTTTGTGAATCCCTAGAGGGGGGATATCCGAAAATTTTCTGACAATGAGTGTTATGCACCTGAGTTAACCAATTTACATTCAGATTGATCGTGAATCCCATCATATGAGTTCCTACGTGGGGTCTCGCAATGCGAGCGCCGGCTTTGCCTCGGGAAAACTGGTCTTCTAACATCATGTAGGTCTTTTGGAAGATGACAGTCGCGAAACGGCACAACCAACCGTTGACAAAGTCTTTGGCGTGATTCCATCCCACCACAGGATGTTCCCCATCTGGCAACTGGATTTAATGGACCAACTGACGCATCTCGACCACCGCATTAACAAGAAAGTGCGTCTGGACACCAACTTTAGCTTAATCAATGTATGCACTCTGATATTCTGGACAGCATATACAAAACCACAATGAGTGCTATCCTGCTTTGCGACAGTGAAATTTATCTCCAATAATCTGAATATCGAACACGACTTCGGATGTCTCCCCTTTGTTACTGACGCAGCATTGCTCACGTTAGTAGGATCTTGGCTGTCCGCAATAAACTGGTGTGCAGCTAAGTACTATGTGGTGATGATTAGGGGTTTTTCATTAGATGGACAAATACGCCTGCATCGGTTGCGTTGATTTGGACATGATCTGCGCACATCGTGTGCACTTTTTGCACAAGGGGGCTATACCCTGTTTACTGGGCCTTGCATTGCTCAACGCTCAAGCTGGGCAATCATTGAATTCGATGCAGAAAACAAGGTCACCGGTCGCTCCACTGGGTGTTGGTTTCCATTCCTTGCTATCCAGATCGAGGTGCACTTGATGCAGTCTGTGTTTGGCTATTGCTCAACACATTAAAGAGCGTGGTTCGCCATCCGCGCAACTGTGACATCCGCTAACACTTATGGGGGGAGGGGAACTTGTTATTTCGTTTTATCCACTACAGAGTTACTTGTGCAGCACAGTTGATTGTGATGCGGAAATCCACAAAGAGAGATTGCGTACCAACACCACACGACAGAGTCGGTGGTTTGTTGCCGTCTTGTTGGTGTTCATATTTTATTTAAGTAGACTGTTTTTTTCACCAAGTCTCGCATCTTCCCTCTTATTTCCCTCTGCATTACTTGACTCTATTCGATTGTATGACAGTTGAGGAGCCCACTTCCGATGTGACTCATAGCACGGTGTCGGCGATCGATGCCCGCATGCAACTTCATCTCTATGACCGTGAAAAGCGACACATGTGGTACAATCAACCAGTTGAAGTGGCTCTGCTGTGTGAACTCTCATGAGAGAATAAACGGCACATCGGATGAAACGTTGTGGTAGTGACGTGACGGATTGTTGTGGTGAATAAAGTGCCTGAGACTAGAATTGACACACACGAAAGATACCGCGCTGAACTTACATTCAGCGCTACTTGCATCGTGGGGATGTGGTATTTACTGGCACCTGAATCCACCTGTCGTGTATGGATTATTTTATAAACCAAGCAACGAGCTACAGCTCCGCACGTGAATACCTGCGGTTGGTTTCACCTAGCCTCTGTCAGGGTAGAACCTAGTATACCCAGAACCATACGAATTCATTTGACCCAATTGAAACGTTTTCACAATGGTCACCGAGGCTGTTGCGTTGGGAATAAAGTGACGCATTGCGGTACCATGAAACTGGTACCACAGAAGGTTTTTGTGTCATTTGGGATTATTTGCCATAGCCGTGATAAACTACACTAGGTGATGGCGCGGAACAGTAATATAACCTGAACGACAGTTGCCATATCTAAGGACCCTACCCATCGTGTCATTTCCCGCCTCTTTTCTGCATCTTTGCACATCCGTAGACCGTCTTTTTGACCTGGTAACATCACTTACTGTCGTCGTTTTGTCTACTTACCATGTGTGTTCTCTTCTTCATTTCAGTTGCTTCTGTTAACAGTGCACCGTTTTCTTGTCGTCGGAACGACTTACGCGCTGCGAGCATTGCAGTTAGATAGTGGTGGTGATCCCGTCTTGGACACAGATGCACCGGAGCCCTTTGTAGGTTTTGCCAACGCTGCAGAAATATATGGTCGTCGTTTGGGTCTATTCCTACTTGTGCCAAACTCTCCTTTGATGTCGCCGAGTGGATTTCGAGGATCTTTCTCCGCATGTAAGCAATACGTCACCACAGGCATCTTCAGCGGCCCTACCACCGCGTTGTATGAACAAGCTGCACTCAACTACGACAATGCCCGTCTCCGAGTCCAGTTGGTCTCTGCACGCTTTCAACATGATTTAGACATCATGGTTGCTATATCGGGAGCTGAGAAGACACCCTTCATGGAGGACATGATGCAACAACTGTTCGGTACACCAGACCGCCTCTCTCAGCTCGATCGTCTAGCCAATCACAACTCGGTTGCTTGTCGCGTGTTAGCCCAGTGCCCAGATAGACGTCCGAAACCAGCTGCCAATCTTGCGACCCCGGGAAAATACTTTTTCCCGCTCCCATCCAGCCCTGTACAGTTGAATTTTGACTTCCTCCCCAGCCGTGTATATCCCCTCATTCGACTGCAGAGTGCCTCCTCGCGCCCCTCCGTATCCGTCGGTTAGTGATACACGACACTGTGCAATCTCTTCCTTGCTGGTCGCGCGCGCATAGCGTTTGTCGGTTGCCATCATCTAGTGTCGGAATAGTGTAAAGCCACTTGATGAACCTGTGATTTTCTGCATTCCCTTTGTTTTTAGGAAATCTACATTTCGGTAGTGTCTCCTTTCCCCCTTCCTGCTACATTCTCACCTTCCCGATCACACTATGTGCATTCAGTAGTGCAACGATGCTATTCTGTGCCCGATCCGCTCGGAGTTTATTGACCTTTTGTATATATTTTCTTTTTCCTTGGAAATGGCTCCTTTGACGTTTATTTTCGCTTAGTTCTGTGAACTTTTGCCACAATTGTACCGACTTTTCTGTATCTATCGTAGCCATGAATATCACGAGATGGATCAATGATACTCTCTCCGACTGGTCTTACTCGCGGTATGCTTCATGAGACAGGCCGGGTAACAGTGGTTTCAGTGAGTCCCCAAAGATGTGGATCTGGGATGTACCTACTCGTTTTGTCAATAATTCACCGACAGCTACTAGCGTGATGCGCGGTAATGTTGTATTCGGACTGAATCGTTGCATCCAGTTGAAGCATGAAACGCGAATCAGTTATAGATTGCGCCCATACTATTCCCGAAGCACCATAATTCCATTGCGTGACAGATACGTGGAATAACATCTTCGAGACCAGTTCGCAGCATGGATGTTTCAGCATTCAGCGCATTGTATTGTTACAAGACGGGATCCCAGTTTTATGCTGTGATTAACATAACTTTGAGCAGCGTCAAACTGGTGCTTTACACACACCTCCAGAGCGGCCGCTTACATGTGGGTCTTTGGCTATATGTAGAGATACTAAGTAACAATATTTACTCTCTTCTCTCAAAACACAATCACTAATAGCAACAGTTTACGAACCGTGAACTGCAATATTTGTGTTAAAAAACACCGATGTCACTAGCCTTGTCCGACGTTATCTCTAGGCCCGTAGCCCAACGTTAACGTGCTTGCCTCGTAATCTTGCGGCGTGTGTTCGAAGCCATGTAGGGGTAGGCGTCATCGCGGTATACTCAGCCTGCGTGCGATTGGTGGTGGTCGCACGGCAGCGACGCGCCGTTACGGCGTACAGCTGACACATTATTATTATTATTATTATGCGAACGTCCTCTTCTCAAGTCACGCAGCTCTAGTGTGATAGAACGCACATTCCAAGACTTGTGAAGTTTACTAGGAGCTAGACTCAGTTGTACAGTGGCCACACATCCTGAAAGTTCGACACAGCCGCTCCGTCAGTGACGTGCATGTGCTGGATCCGAACCTGTTACTTTCTCCTGCGAGTCAACGCTTTAAGCCTCTGAGTCATCAATGACGATGGCAGATCTCCACGACCGATTGCCGGCTGCTATATAGCTAGGTTAACTCCTCATGTTTATCTGCGATTGACCTTGGTTCTAGACCTATCATCTGCCACGGTAGAAAAGCGTACGTGTCCAAACTTGAAGCTGAGTGTGCTTGGCTCCGAGCAGCTCGTCGATCGGGTCCTCTCGCTATTTCTCATAAGATAGAACTGCCATTGCAGCAACTGGCGTTGGGAGCTCTATAAAAATGCGTGTGCTGGAGCAAACAACCGAGCACTGTCCTCTCGCATACGCCCTCTACCAGCACTCCTTCCCACCCATTCCCCTTTTTTCGTGCATGTCTTCTTTCATGTTTTCATTGTGCCCTGTACTAAGGCTCTGGCCGAACATACTATCCTTTTTCAAAATATGGGTCTCATTTTACGCATCCTGGGCTTTGTTCTTCGCGCCGTGTCAGGTTGGTCCACCGACAGCGCTATCTCATGGTTCCCTCTCACTTGGGCTTGGCGTATACTTTGTCCCTTAAACACGCATGCCTGACAGTGGCTCTGAATGCGTACTCTGGTTTCTGATAACGGTGGCTTCATCCGCATCTTCAGTGACGCCCAGTACGTACTTTGTCCGAGTTGCATTTTATGTGGCTCTAAACTCATTCCACCTTTTGGATCCTCAGTAACCATCCTCTTCTGTGTGTTTAATCTTCAAAGCTACATCGGTCTTGGTCGACAGCGTCTGAGGACGCAGAGCCTTGTTTCCTGTTTCCAAGTATGCCCCACTGACCGGATCACTGGGGCCATCACATTTGTTCTGTTCGCTCCTCTCATCCCTCACTGTTACAACCAACGGGCTTCTATCGTTACCGAAGATTTTGGTAACGTTATCGTGATCAATCTGACTGCTGTCTTTAATGCTGTCATCCCCGCTTTTTGTGTACTCTACAACATCGTATAAGAATCACCAAGACATCACCATCATTGTTAACATTACCTATCGATCAAATCACCTACTTGGGTTTTACTCGGTGTTCTACATGGATAAGTGCCTGTTAAACCACACACACTATACACATTAGCTAGAGGTGGGAAACACCTCAGCTACCCTGCCGTCGACAGGACAGGAATGACGCACCGCGTTCCCATGTGAGGTGAAACTAGAATGTAAAAGCTTAGCAAAGCAAGGTGGGGGAGAGCCAAGATTTGGGGCTTAAAAACAGGGGGGATAAAAGTGAAGCTGGAACGGGATGGTAAGAGAGAAAAAGCGTAGGAAGAAGAAAAAGAAGATGGGGATGTTTGAGCACTAGCATCCAAATCCCTATCCACCCTGCTCCATGCAGCAGATAGGGCACCGTTGATTATCCTCTGCGGTGGCCAGAGCATTAGGAAACTGTTTGAAGAGAAATTCATTGTATTGCTTGGACAGGATACTGTTAGCTTGCCCAGGCCTAGACAGGAGAATGATTAGGGTTCTCAACCAAGGCCTTTGGTTTAAAAACCTGACCGCAAGGCAGCGGGTTTGGCGTTGGGCTGCAAGGAGTCCGTTTTAAGGAATAAGGAGCCCCCTCATTCCAACCCCTAACCTGGAATACCAGGAGGCTGAGTTTGTCTGGCCTCTAACCATTGACCAATCTGGTATGAGTGACTCTGAAGGTGAAACAAAAGCACCACACAGCATAGCTCAATGGATCGCTGAAGTACATAAACTATCGCACCACGGTAAGGTCCAACCTCATTGCCTGTTAGACCGCGTCTGGTGATCGACTACTATCTATGTACCGACTGTCTGTAGCCCTCGGGGAGTTAAAACTAAGTCTGTACATCGATCAGAATCTATTATTTGTTAGTTTTGGTATCACTTATACTTTACACACATCTGAGGTACGATTTCAGTGTGGAAGTTTTCAACTGGCTATTTCCCGCTGTCCCATCCCTCACTATTTGTCTGTGCTCGTTTGTCCACACACACACACACATGCTCTTCGTCCGTTATGATCAGTCCACGGGGCTATAAGCCACATGGGGCTCTGTTCTCGCTAAATCAGGTCAATTCTGTGTTGTCTCTCTGGGTCTTTTGATACTGCTCGACTCGCATGGGTGGCACTAGATTCGCGTTCTCTCTATTCGGCTGACGTCAGCTTCGCTCGCTCACTTGGGACCAGTCACCATGATACGCCATACCGTCGGCCAACGTTCGTACGCGCGCGTGTTTCCCGCAACGGTTGTCCTGGTCAATCCGGTTCGCTTTTGTCTACGATCACGCTCGTCTGTGCTTGTGCTAGGACAGATACATTCCGTCGCGACTCTCGGCATCGTACAACCTTTGATCAGATCATCTGGACAGAGTTTCATCGGGTTCCCGTTCATCGGTCCCGCATCGATTTTCTTCACTTTAGGTACCAGCTGCCATCACACTGATCGCGTTCTCTTTACCAATAGAACCACTTTCAAACGCGATCTCCTGCATCATCCTACCTGGTACCTATCTTACGCACTGCTATCTTTGACCCAAATCGATCATTGTTCTATGAGCTGCAGCTAACACATTTATGCACGATTGTCGATTGATATGGACTACAAACGTAAGTTCCGATGATGTCTTATTGCGCGCCCATGGCATTCAGTCTCCTAACCTTAATAAGGAACCCAGTTGAGGCGCCTTGCTCGTCACCTATACTCAGCACACAGATCAACTCGAACTGATTCACCAGCCACTACTGGCGAACGATGTGAGTGTGCCGAGCGCCGGCCTGGATGGTCTCAATTACGCGATGAATCTATTCTTTGAAGCCACCTATGTGTCTAGTCTGATAAGCCGGAACTATGGATGGGTTACTGATGCTTTGATTAATTTCTTCGAAGCAAGCAAACCGATTTTGTCGCGTACACATTTTCGACGTACTCGTTAGCCTCTGAAGCAACGATTGGCTATAAGTCTTAGCATTGGTCGGAAGTGTTGGTGGGTGGCAGTGACCAATGAGATGGGGAGAGCTGGTACGGCTTAGAACTACCGAGTTCTATTCTAACTCACCTAGTATAGGCGTCCAAGAGAACTATTCGTTAGTGGGACATAAGCTAAGAAAGGCGGACACGGTCTGGTCTCAGCCTCGTCTATTGGCCTGTTAAGTGGAAAATTTTTGAAGCGCAGCTCAGCCAGTCTGCCACGTAGGAATTTGCTGTTGCACCTCCCACTCTGAAAGAGGTTCGAAATGATTTCGCTGTGTTGAAACGAAGCGAAGGCTCCTAGACCTGATGTTTCCGCCCTGTTTCGCCATCTCTCGAGACTAATCTGGTGTCTTCAGGCTGGCGGTTGACAACCTATATCCTCCTCCAGAAATGATGGAAGCACTGTACGAGGACTTCATCGAAACATTAGCCTCATTTCCATTAACTGCAAACTTCTCACGGACAGTATTCTGCGACAACTCACCGGGCTTTTGTTAGAACCGATTCTCCATGGACGGGGCTGCATTGGTCGCATATTTACTGCCACTCAACCGTTGGGCTAGAGATATATATGCCGACTGTTAAGTATGACCCTTGGCCGATAAATAGAACAGAACACGCACGCGTAGTATGGAACCGATTTACTAAAAACATTCTGCGTTACAGTGGCTAGAAAAGCCGGAAAGGAAAACCAATGAAAGAAGGAAAGTAAGGCTAGGTCATTCTCAACCAATCATGTGTGGGCCTGTGTTTACGAATCGATACTCAGGTGCGTACGTGACACCCCTCTTTTCCCTGGTCAAAACTACATACTCCGGGTTGATACTGATCAATTGGCTTAGGCGTGCGTTTTGAGCGTCTTACTTCTGGTTGTACCGCATCCGTTTGTGGTTCCTGGCTTTGTGAGGCAGATTCTCCGTCCGTTATTGGGTCAGTAGCAGTCGCTTTTTGATCCCGCTCCTGTGGCTCGTTTAAGCGGGGCCGGATATGGTCAAAAGAGGGACGCACCACACGGCCGTCCTCCAGCATTAGCTTTGCTTGGTTGCTCCTTGAGGACATCAGTGTAGCAGGTTGCCAGCGCGTTTCGTGAGACAACCTTATGTATACCGCATCAAAATCATTAAGGGA